TTACTTCTTTAATTTGAAGAAATCTGCAGCTGAGGCTCATAGATTGCTTGTAGAAGCATATGGTGATACTGCCTTAAGTGAGAGAAGTTGTTGTGAATGATTTCAAAAGTTTAAGAACGATGAATTTGACGAAGACAAAGAATGTAGCGGAAGGCCGAAAGTGTACGAAGACACGGAATTGGAAGCATTATTGGATGAAGATTCGTGCCAAATGCAAAAAAAACTTGCACTTACATTAGGAGTGACTCAACAAACAATTTCATATCGTTTGAAATCATTGGGAATGATTCAAAAGCAAGGGAATTGAGTTCCATATGAACTGAAGCCGAGAAACGTTGAACGCCGATTTTTCACATGTGAAATGCTGTTTGCCAGGCATAAACGAAAGGGTTTATTTGCATCGTATAGTCACTGGTGATGAAAAATGGAGCCACTATGATAAAGAAGAAGAAATCATGAGGATCACCTGGCCATGCTTCAACATCGACAGCCAAGCCGAATATTCATGGAAAAAAACTCATGTTGTGTATTTGATGGGATCAGCTTCGTATCGTGTATTATGAGTTGCTCAAACCGAACGAGATCATTACTGGAGCTCTCTACCGAATACAATTGAGATTGAGTCGAGCACTCAAGGAAAAACGCGCCCACTACTACTCCAGGCATGACAAAATTATTCTCCTACATGATAATGCTCGACCACATGTTGCGGCGCCGGTCAAAACCTACTTAGAAACACTCAAATGAGAAGTTCTACCCCACCCGCCGTATTCTCTAGACATTGCTCCTTCCGACTATCACTTGTTCCGATCGATGACGCATGACCTATCTGAGCAGCATTTCATATCATATGAAGATACCCAAAATGCCATTACTTTGAATAAAACATTATGTACCGTTCTTTCGCAATAAATGCTTAATTTTTTATTAAAAAACGGCGGAAACTTATTTGTACTCCCAATATTATATTATACAATATACTATAGTACAATAGTACGATTCCTAGCTACAACTGTAGATATGTCAGTACAATATATATTCCTAACATTATATCACAGTCTTTTTAATCGTATCTCACACATTTCTAAATGCAAATTTGTTCTCCTGCCTAAATATATTACTCCATGTCCTTTATCTCGCTAGTTATCTTTTTCCTTTTCCTGATCTCTTTTTTCTTTCTCTCTCTAATTTACCTAAAACTTTATATTTAACTAAATCTAATTCTTCGCTTCAAAGTTTCTTTCATATTTCCTCCTTATCCTTTCCTAGTTTCTTAAATCAATTACAATACTTTTGAGCATTCTTCCATGTAGTGTTCATACAGTCTATCCCTATTCCGCAAAATACGCATTTTCTATATTCCTTATCTAACCAATATTATCTTCCTCCATATTGCCGCAACTAACCCTCGCACGCCTTCGCGCACTCCTACTCTATATATGTTTTCCTTCCTTAATTGGACATTTATTCCCCGTATCAAACTCTTTGTATCTCTACCTTTCATTGTATCTCGCAATCCTCATCCTACTATTTTCCCACTGTGCCCATCCCTTTCTCTCCTAATTATTTCCTCCTCTAACCTCCCTTCATTTCCATCGTCCCTTAATTCTCTAGCATTTATTCCCTATCCATTCCTATTGTAAAACTTTTCTCTTTTTTTACTATATCCTTCCATTTATCCTTTTTCTTTCTAACAATACCAAAATAAGCCATCTTCCCTCCTTTTCTTTAATCTCCTCTCGTATCTCATGACTTTTATTCCCTTAATTTAATCTACCCTTAATTTGTCCATAGCTAATTCCCTCATTATCACATATCTCGGAATGCAGAACTCTATGTTGAATATCCATCTCACATAATCTAACATAATTTTCTCCAGACTTCCTCTTTCTTCCCATCCCCAGATCCTTATTCCATATTCCATAACACTTTGTACTAAGTATTTAAACAGTATCCATCTCCTTATAAAATCGTTTCTGCATAATCTTTCTTATAAATCCTATATCTTTTTGGCTGCCACTTTTTGCTTTCCTTTCTTGCTCAATTCTATTATATGATCTTCATAATCATCTTTTCTATTAAAAATAAAACCTAAATACTTAAAACATTGTACCTCCTCAATCTCTCTACCCTCTCATTTCCTTCTTTTCCTTCCCATGCTTATTAAATATTATTATTTTTGTTTTTTTGGTGCACAATTCTAGTTTCCTATCTTTTAAAAATCTCCTTAATGTACCGAAATGCCTATGTAATATAAAAAAGATTTTACACACCGCATTATAATTCTCATTAGTCCCATTTGATTGACTCACTACTAACACGTTTGATTTCTGTATTATATTATATTATATTATATTAGTATTATATTACTCAAACAATTATTTATTAAAATTTAGTAAATTTTTCTCTCAGTGTAAAAGCGAGAAATTCTTCTTCTTCTAAAGTTTGATAAAACAGATCGAATATAGTTACATTATTATTTTCTGCATCATATTTAGCACAATTCTTCTTCAAAATGCGATAGCATATCAAAATATGGCAGTAGCTTCGCCAGTATATAGCAAGAGAGGACACAAAGCAAGGTAGATTCTATTGAAACGTTACAAATCCTTTCATTACAAAACATATTGGTTGAGTACTAAAATATATATCTTTTTACGCGATATTTGAAATCTCTATTCTCGCACGCAATACCAATAACTCTCATGAAAAAAAGTTTTCAAGTACACCTTGATTTAATTTGATGATAATGTATTGCATCTTAACATTGTTGGAATACATTTTCTTAATTGGTGCAAAGAACAGTTACTAACGATAATGCCTTTTTAAAATGTAATTAAACTTTTGTGTTTTCCAATTGGCATCTCATTCATTAATTCGGTCATTTTTTATAAAACGCCATCTTGTTTTTCTAAATAAACCTCGTAAATATTCTTGCTGTCATATTTGCCACATACTATTAGCATTAAACATTTTTCAACCAGTTGTTAAACAAGCAGATAATGCGCGCTGTCCTTCCAGTCAAAATTGTTAAAGTAGTTTTTTGCTCAAATTATTCAATGGAAGCTGTTCGTTCAGAAAGTAATTGTATAATATAAAATATAGTAGGAAGAACTTTTTGTTTTTCATAGCCTTGGACGTGAAGATGATATTGGAAAATGTTATAAGAAACTTTTACATCTTTTGCACAAATACTTAAGATTCATTTGATATATTTCTTATCCATGCGATGCCTCCGCACACCGAACCCATTATCAATAAAGTGATTTTTTGCTAACTCGAACAAATATGGCATATCTGCAAACATAGAATCTTCAACTTTTCGTCGAGAAAGTGTTGAAAAAACACTTAAGAAGATAATTAAGGAGCAAACTTTCAAAATGAATTTTATCCAAAATTTAATTTTCAGAAAACGAGAAAGAAAGTCACAAGAAAACTGCATGCCTTTACAAAAAAAAACAATTTGCCAATCAATAAGACATGAAAATGTTCAACAAAATTGTTAAACAATTGCTAAAAATGTTAAACAAATATATTTTGTTTATCTCTAGTTACAGAACATAATACACTTCGAATGTAAAGATTTTTTTCAGCACGTAAATTGATGGTGTGTAGAAATACTTTTAGAACATCATAGAGTAACTTAAAATATGAGCCTATCAACACTGAATATTATGCCATCTTTAACTAAAAAAACTGAAATTTTGAACAAAATGCATTTTAAAAGTCTGTTCCTTAATTGTTTTTGGGGACAACTCTAATTTTCAATTCAGACTACAGCGTGATATTCGTTGAATCCAAAGAATATTAGATAGAGTGGAAGATCCTTATGAGATCGTAATATATTTTCGCGTATACTGCTATCAATATTATCTTGTGAATCTGATGTTGCATTTATCAATAATAGCGACGAAAAAAAAATTAACGAAGACAAACGGAATTCGAATTCGATATCCTTCATTTTCTAATTTCATACCTGCACGGCCATGAATACTTTATTACAATTAATATTCTGTTCTGTCTATATAAAATAAAAATGAAATTAGGAACATAATTGTACATCGGATCATGATTGCACATGATAGAGCGGGAATGAACAAATTTCGAACAATCAAACTCTATCGGTATTGCATGTTATTGTATTTTCTACCAATTAAACTCTATTGCTTTTTACTGTCTATGGCATATCAGCCTTCAGAAGGCTTCAGAATGTTTCAGCTTTCTGATTCCACCATGCATCAGATTCAGCAGATGACTCTCGTCATGATATATGAACCTTTCACGCTTTCTAATTTTTTTTGGTTGAACCCATATCACATATCACATATCATGCCAATAGCAAGTGTAATCTGTATTATACAATCATGGACAAAGGGTTTTTGATTATTACCGTATCAATTATAATAATCGTTATTTTTATTTAGAAAATATATTACGAACCATTACATACTGGCACAACTTGTGTGATCCAACAATTTTCTGCAGTTTTCAATAGATAACAATTTTATTATATAAGTAGATTTCGTCAAATATAATTATAACTAGGAATTTATGCGTTTGCATTTTCCTTTACATTTCATGCAGGTAAGGAGTATCTAACATACCAAGATTTATGTTTATGTTTATATATTACATGCCCACTTTCTTAGCATTGAAAAAACAGGGAGAAGCATTTTCATAGCACTTCTCATGTATCAGTAAGCTTTGAGATTGATGCATCGTAAAGACATAGCGCTTGCTATATCTTCTGAAGACCAGTTTGCGTGTAATTTACACGTTAAAATTCAATAATATTCGCATTTGACCCGACGTGAAAAATTTTCCTAAAGATTTGTGTACATTTTGACTTCACACATTTCAATGTAGACAAATTTTGTTCTTGCCATTTCAATTTTTTCTTCATTGCAACTACTTGCAATTTAAGATTCTCGCTAAAAACGTAAAGCAAATAAAATACATGTATGCAAATTCAATAAATACTAGAGTAATAATATAAATGTAACTTGACCTCTATTTAATTTCTCTTGTAGTTGAATTTTGCAAATTTCTTCTTTAAGGCTTCCAATTCTTGTTGCAAGTTTTT